CCGTCTGCTGCAGAATCTCTCTACTCAAATGAGAAGTCACTGGGGAAAAAAAAAGAAGTCCTTTGGCAGAAATGGATAACATGTTATAGCTAATTTTATTTCTGAACCACGTTTCCTTATTGCTGTGAAGAAAAAGAAATAATGTAATTCCTCCTGATAGAAGCAGCCTTGTTGAAAATAAATGTCTTCAAGGAAAATAGAGATTTTGCACACACATTTATTTCTGTTGTCAGTTTACATCTGGGAGAATATAAAGGTCTGTGTGCGGGGCAAAAGGAGAAAAAAATGGGACACTGAATGCTATCCATTTGAGATGATCACATTGAACTCTTCTCACAAGCCATTTGCTTTTGGCACATGGGTGACCTATTCAAACCAGGACACTATTTGGTTAGGGATGGGAGAAGGGTGAGCAGAACCAGAGAGCCCTTATCCCAGAAAACTTATAATTCAAGCCTCCCTGTCAGATATGCATCCACGTAGCAATTGCTGCCAGTGGTTTCAATCATCTAGCCCATTCTATTTCACTGCAAGCCATGCCTGCACCCTACAAGGAGCACTTTGTTATTCACTTAAAAACAGAAAATAAACAAGCAAAACCTTGCAGGATGCTGTTGGCATTCAGAGCTGCTTTGTTTTAACAACTTGAGGAGACTCACTTTTCCTCAAGTTTTAAACTCTTGGTCTTGTGACACCAACTGAACTGAAGCCATGTGGAGAACACAGGTAGACTGACCACATAATTATTCCATAGATTAAGAATTACCCTAAAGCAGTCAAGGAGTGAAAAATCAAGATCAAGGAGAGAAAGGTTGCGCCATTCAAGTATTAAAAGACCAGGACGGCCTAACATGGGTTTACATCACTTGTGTTTTTCCACTAATATTTACATTCCTGAGGAAAACCAAGAAGTGCAGCGATAAAAGCCAGAAGAGAACGAGTTACAAAATAAGGTGCCTAACTAAACAGACTGGGTTCTGCTTTAAACTGCTGCCATCTCGTGGTCTTGCTGTTCATCACCAGGGCTTGGAGCTTGCAACATCACAGTGATGAGCAATCATTCCCTCATTAGGGACTGGGGACAAGCCCAAAACTCCCAAGAGCTTCTGGCGATCGGCAGCTGTGTAAGAGACCCATTTTCTCACTTCCCTATTACCTACCGTGAACACTGGGTGCGAAAGGTGTTCTACAGCGATGTGCCATCTTGTGAACCAGGAGTACGGAAAAATTCCTAGGATAGCATACCAAAATTGTCTTTTGTTTGAACAACATCTGGATCAGGAGGAGGACATGCTTCCCGGGTTGCACTGTCTTGAAGTCACCAGCAAGAAAAACCCCTTAGGGTTAGTCCAAAGCACAAAAAGTCTGAAGCAGCCAGGCCTGAGCTTTGCATTCACCCAAACCTGGCTCTGCAGAGCTTTGCACAAGGAAACGCAGAGCAACAGAGGAGCAGGGTCTGTCTTAAGACAGGCCTAGGAAGAAATGAGGGTTCCCATTAGAAGCAAAACTCTTTAGCAGATCCCAAGTGACAAAGGGCAGCCACAAGGACTTTGGGACCATCTGTAAAATGAGATTAAAGGCCCCATCCACAATCAAGCTTCCACAGTAACTGCCCATGGACTGAACCAAGCCCTTGTGCACGTTATTGACCCATTGCCTGTGCAAAGTAAGATATCTCAGACACTCAGCTGACACACAGTAAGCCTCTAACCCATCTGATAACGTGTCATTCTCCATTAAAAGCAATTAGAAGTTTGAATTAATTCACATGGGAGAAACTGCAAAGCTACCACAGTGATACTGCCTAACAAGCTGTTGAACTAACAGACTCAGGTTTTGGTCCTTTAATCTTAACTAGAGCAAGCTCATCTGGAAGGACGCAATCCTACATAGGATGCAGTCCTGTTCAAAAGATCACTGAATTAGAAAGAATGACAGACTCCTGACAACCACAAGCCCAGGTAAGGGGAAACACCTTGGTTTCTGCACATACAGCACCTCCATAGCAATGCCCTGAATATCCCCAATCTCTAACTTCTGTATGATTCTATGGTAATATGCTATTAGTCAATAAATAAATAAACAAACCTCATGTTTCTAACAACATCACCCCCAACTTACTGTCGCACACCTTTACAGTGGGGGTGATTTGGGCTGGTAGAAACACGCACCCTGATCTCTGTACAATTACAAGGCAACCAGCAAGCCACAGATGGAGTTGTTATTCTACACAGCACCCAGCTTGAACAGTTAGTGCTTGCTCGCATACCAGAGGTAGTCAATTACAAAATCATAATAAACCCTTATGGAAGGTTATTTTCAACAGGAGTTTTCTAGCTCCTGCCTAAAATACTCATTTCCCAGATGAGAGATTAAGTCAGGATTTCCTATCTAAAACACATTCTGCTTCATTAAGTATCTGATGTTGCCTATTTCCACAAGTCAAGTTTATTACTTTATAATAATAAAAACATGAATGAGTTTAGACAACAGGTTGTAATAAGTTTGATGCACCATTTACAGAGGAATATGCAGTAGGGATAGATCTATCTGTACCTTTCTTTTCACTATCCTTCTTTTGGTTTAATTACTGATACATACGTTTGCTTAATAGGAGCTTCCAGGCAGAACTGCATTCCACCTCAGCACAGAGAAATAGCTTACTAAATACCAGTTCGCACAAAAACGTAAGTTATTTGGCAAACATAACTCCTGGTTATCAGCAACACTCACTTGAGTTTCCCACGGAGAAAGCAGCCGTGAGCTGGACAGTTTGACTAGGAAGATGAGTCTTTCAGCCTTAGGTCAGGGTGGACAACTCCTGCACTTTTGAGGCAATGACTGTGCCACAAAGCCACAAATTTCAAAGGAGACCGAAGCAACAAACTTAACTAGAAGGAATGTCCATATCTACTAAAGAATTGCAACCAGATTAAATTCTGTATATAGTTAGCAGCTATAAGAGCCCCAAAACTGATAAAAACTCTCCCCATCTGCCCTTAAAAAGCAAGAACATAATGCCCTGCCTACAGTAAAACCTGGGAAATCAGCATATGGAACACCTGCCACATGATTCTCTCAAAGCCTGCAGATCTGAAAACAAGCCACAGGCCTCTCCTCTTCATCACTATCACTCCTCCAAATTGCGTTCTCCCTGCTGTGACTCCTCAGCTGCAGGTAGAGCAGATAAGTATTACACGAGGCAGGTACTGCGATCCTGTCGGGTTTCAGTTGCGGTAGAGCTGCAATTGATTACAGCAGCTACAGAGGTTTTGCTGTCCCATTCCATCCTCATTACCACTAGAGAGCTCATTAGTTGTATACTGATGTCTTATTAGCAATCCCTAGGCTAGTTTTGGTGGTTTATTTAGCAAATGGGGCACACGCTGCCCTTCCGTATTTCTCCCCTTCTCTCCATCCATTTAAGTTAGCACTTAAGTTAACACTCTCTTGAAATAGATACCATTGCTCTCAGAACAGCTGATGGTTCGTTTACCAAAAGCTAGTTCTCATCGAGATCACTGAGCAGAAAGGGCAGACAAAACCTTATTAATTTCTCCTCAAATACTGCCTCTCTTCAGCCGGAGCTCAACTCACATCCACATGGCTGTAACCAGCAGAAGAAAATTAGAAAGTTGGAACCAAGCCTAGGAAAAGCACAGGTTACACTACTGCCCACGGTACACTACACTGCTGCCTGTAAGCCAGAGAAGGTCAGGGGCCAGTATTTAAGTGGAACTAAAACAGCCCAATCAAGTGTCTTACAGCCTCTGAAAATACATTCATAATCAAATTTAAAAAAGCAGGTGTTCTTCTTATGCCTCCAAATTGCCTAGATAGAGAGCGCATCTCCAAGTAGCCATCGTTATTCATGCAGAAGCCTGGCATAATAAATTCAGGGAGGCATGCAAAGAGAACAGCTTGTAAAAGAGCCCGATACCAGAGGCAATAGGTGCCTATATCTTCTGGCTGGGACCACTTCTCACAGACATGCCTCTGTGAAAGTCGCACACCTTCAGTTTTACTCTCTCTAAAAAGCCACAAGAAAAGCAATCAGCAGCCTTCACCCTCCTACTAAAGAGGGTGGTATTTTAGCACATGTACTTGATTTATTCAGAGCTGCCCAAAGACAGTTAAAATAGGTCAGCAATTTGCTCTTTGTAGCCTGATTCATGTACCATACAAAGAGCTTAGACCTATCCTAATAATGTTAAACGATGTCTTTAAGCAGATTCAATCAGATCTGTGCTCTAAAAGAGATAAGAAAGGAGCAATCACATCCTTACACTCTGAGTTAAACTAAGGTGCAGAAATATTCCTGCTTGCTAGAATTACACTGATATCTGTATGCTCACTGGATTCTGGTAGATCACAGGAAAAACATTGACTAAAAAGATTACGCAGTGCAGCACTTCAATCCATTGTCCACCATCCTTTAATTACAAATTACTAGTGGAAGCAGCCCGGTATGGAAACACACCCTTCATCACCCTTGATGACATGCTGATTTAGTAGGTAATTTACCCCTGTCCCTGTGAAAGTCTAGGAAGGCTCTTCATCTCCACCTCTGCTCTGACCATTCATTTAACTTTATTAAAAATATAAGCATTGATTTTCTACAGCCATTACACGCCACTGGATTTATCTGGATTACTGACTGAAGTCATCAATCCACTCATTCCAAGAAGAGCCAAAGCCTGCAGAAGACAATAGCTACAAGCTGTTACCAAGGCAGCAACATCAAAAAGAGCATTCCTCACCCTGCTCTTCTGATTCATCTGACCAGGAAGTGAAACTTTTGCTGCAGCACTCAGGACAGCATCCAAACAGGAGAAAACTCCAACAGATCACAGAATAGAAGCCACTTCTCTTCAGGGAATAACTGTTCTCTAAGCAATACATTCATCATGGCGCATCAGTTGCGACTAAAAAATCTTCACGTTTCTGATTACCTGCACATTACAAACACAAGCAATGTGTTGGAAGGACGTATACATTACCATGGGATTGGAGTCTGCAATCAGGTCACGCAGAGAATCCAGAAATCCTTGGTCTTCCACCATCTGGGCATTGATGTCATGTAGCTTTGCCACACAGACAGCTGCAGTCTTCCGTACATAAGGATCTTCATCCTTCAGACATTTGCGGAGAGGCTCACACAAATACTCTGTGATCTTATCCACCCTGATGCATCCCATCGTACGGACTGCCAGAGCACGGATCAGAGGGTTTGGATCTTCACAGTCCTGCAAAGGGAAAGAAGAACATGCAGTAAACAAATACGGGCATCTAAACACCAGTATCTTCCCTATAGCCAAAATAGGGCTTTTCTGTTCCTATTCCAAACAAAAGACCTTCTCTCCGATCACACACTAAAAAAGGACGCTTATTTCTGATCAGGGACAAAAGGTGGAAATCACTGGCTCATAGAAGCATTCTATACCATCTCAAAATGTTTTCAGGCTATAATAGCTTGTAAAATAGCAAAATTGTGACATCAGTGCCCCTTGGCTGTCCCCAGGCAAAGCTTCTTTCAAAACGATCCAGCAGCTAAATCTAAAGTACAGCTAAGCTAGAGAGGTGTCTCTCACCATTCAAAGGCTAGCCACAGGCAGCTTTCAGACAGAATGAAATGCTGGTTTCTAGCCTTTCTGGTTTAAAGGAGCATTAGAATACAATGGGAAAAGTCAGCAATTAAACGTAACTCAACAGTCATCAAGGCCAATTTCGCACAGGCCAGATCTAGACACAAGCATCCCTCGCATTCACAACACACAAAACGCTAGCCAAAAGCATTTCAGTCTAGAGGTCTGAGAAAAGCAAGCAGAAGTGAATGTAACACTCTTTATCCTTGAGACCTATTTAGTTTTCCATACAACTACTTACAAAATCAAGTAGTTTTTACAGCTACGCTCTTAGCCTATTGCATCCAATCCATCTACATCTCAGCAAAACTCCTTCAAATTCAGACTAGAAAAGGATGGCGGCAGAATGGCCCACAAAAGCATAAAGCACACTTACCTTTCACTGTTTAATTTTTCTATACCTGTAGAACACCTGAATCCATCAATTTAAAAACATATGAGTGAAGTGACATATCTTACCAATGCATTCAACACCTTGAGCTGTGAACTGCATGTGAAATGCTGAGTTAGCACAGAGTAGTGCCGATACTTCCTCTTTACTAACACTTGTCCCTCATCTTGGCAGATGGGACATTAGACATTTCCTTCCAGGGAAAAGCATGGAGCTGGAAAATATCAGGTCTGTTTGTTAGCCCACTCTAACAGAATTACACTTGGAAGGTATGATAGACAAGAATATTCTTCCCAGGAACTTGCAGATGGAGGTAGGGGCATCTTCTTTACCCAGAAGAGCAGGCCACCCTCAGCCTAGGTACCCCTCACCTCTTTCAGCCTCAGACAGCACACTAAAAGCTTAAAACATGATCGTATTTCCCAGTTTCTGGGGGTTTGTCATGGCCTAGGAGGAGTCTCAAACTTTTCCTAAGCACTGGGTTTTAACTTACATAATATGAGACTGAAATAACATTTCCCAGATAAGGACAGGCAACTTGATAACAGAATTAAAGGCCATACAGCGATCAGGCTGTTATTCTCCACTGAACTGTCTTTCAGTTTCACCAGTCAGAGATAAAGGTTTTTCACAGAGAGCTCCACTGAGGCATTCAAAGGAGAAGCGGATATCCATATGACACGGATGCTACAAAGGCTGAAAGATGAAGAACATACGTTCTCTTGTCCAAGGGCAGAAGGTGGTCTTCAATGGTGGTTAGTAAAATAACAGAAGCAGCTTTTCCTGGAGCAGGCTCCCTCAGAATCACTTACAGGAGGACTGAAGTCACCTCCTCTGCAGTAACTAGCGGCAGCAAGTGAGAAACGGGACCCACATCTGTCGGATTCAGCCAGCTCCTGCGAGCCAGCTCATTTCCTGCTCCTCTACAAGCACCCCCAACCCAGAGACTCATGTACAAAAGGAGAGATTACAAACAGCTGAGAAAGGGCTAACGGACAAAGGAGACAGGTTGACAGCCACGCACCACATCAGTTTCTGATGAGCCTTGGGAGCAAGTTACCTTCACAAAGCTGTTTACAGCCATAATGGCCATATCCGGCTGACTTTTGGCATAGTTCATCAGGTACAGGTACACCAGCTTCTTCAGCTCCAAGTTGTCAGTCTGCATACAGTTCACAACATCTGGGAAGAGTGAGCTGGATAAACAAGAGTGGAGCACAAAGAGATAAAAAGCCATGAGATTACATTGTAAGCAAAGGGATAGCATGAATATCAAGGGAGCCAGGAAACCTGGAACTCCACTATAACTATTCCACAGTCTAATAAGAGGTCACTTTCCTCCCAAAACAGCTTGCAATGGGTTTTACAATAGTTTAATCATTTAATCTCTTCTAGGGCTTTAATACAGGCCAGTGCCTGGAATAGGGGAAAACAAATGCAATTTCCTAAAACTGCTGTAATTGTGGAGTTCACTGAACAAAAAAATCCTATCATGCCAGCCTTGGAAATTAACCAACAACAAAACAAAGATGCTTAAAAAAAATGTTTTGATGATGCAGGACATCTGATTTACAATGAACCTGCCAAATTTCAGTAAATTCTAAAGTGATTAGGAGATTAAACACTGATAAATTGAGTTTCACTGAAACGTGAAGCAGCAGTCTAAACGGCAGTGCAGAAGAAAGGAGAAAGTTGCAGACGACATCTGCAGCTCTCAGGTATGCTGTAGAGATGTAAAGGTGAACGTCAAGTGCTGTCGACATTAAAAAAAAAAAAGATTATTTTTCCTCCCTCCAATTTAATCTGTTCCTTCTTCATCAAGTCATGATGCTAAATTTGCAACCTCATATCAAATTCCCTGGCAACAGACTATACTGCCATGAATCCAGGATTATTATGACTTTATGGCAGAATCCAGCAGGGGAAGCTGGAAGGGAGAAAGTGTTTGCTCAAGCAAGTCTCAAGACAGCAAAAAATACTGGGACAGCTCTGCAAAAGATAAATGCCCGTGTCCTTTAGCAACTGTGATGTAATCCCAAAGGCCCAGTTTAAAAAACGCTCAGTTTAATATGTACCCTTATCTGTAATGGCATAAAATCATTTAAAACAAACACTTGGAATTACCTTCCTAAAACTAAAAACCTCAGCTAGCAAGCAGATCAGAAAACATTGTCTATGGTGACATCTAAAAATGGCTGAATTCTGGAAGGATTTTTAAATAAAAAGTGTTAACAGGCAGCCAGCTAAACTGGCACTGATAAACTTGTTTTCTTTTGCTTTCAGTAATAGAAAGGAGCTCAAAAAAGCTGTGAATCAATCACAGCATAGGCCAGGACACAGTCAGCCTCACTACCCAGCTCACTGAGATGAAGAACTTGGATTCTGAGACATAGTGTCTCCTTTCTCCCTGTTGGGGAGCCTTCCAGAGAGACGTGTGCCTCTCGTGCCTGACTGAAGAGTCCAAGGAGAATCAGAGCTACTACAGGTGAAAGAACAACACCTTTTACCTGACATCCTTCCCCACAGTCATGGCTGCAATAACCTTTTTTACAGCTTCTTTCCTCTTCTCTTTCTTTTCATTATTGAGTTCTGCCTTCAGTTCAAAAATCTCTCCTGGAAGAAGACAAAACAGACCGTGACTCTTGGAAAAAGAAGATGTGGCTTTAGGAATAACTTGGAAGTGACCCAAATTCCTGCAGATGACTTGGGAGATTACGGAATGGGCTGGGGGCAGAGGGGAGGGGAAGGAGAAGGAAGACCAACTCTTTTTCAGTAGGTAAATACATATTCTTTGGCTCACATACAAACAGACCTGAGCACAATCAGAAATGAGGAAAAAATTATCCAGCTACAAAAAGGATGAAGTGCTATATATTCAAACTTTCTCCCCACTCTACACACACATCCCCAAACTCTTTTGCCTATGGTTACTGAAACATCCTACACTGGCTACATGATGACAGAATTATTTCCCTTGAAAAACCAGAAAGCCACCCTGCAAGATGACCAAAATCACTTTGTGGTTTGCAAGGCTTTAGGTTGAAAAACAAGGTCCTCCTCAAATAAGGAAGAAAAAGCAGTCTGCAGAGTTAATCTGCCTAACCATTTGAAAAGAAGTCCCAGTAAACTCCCAGGGATAGTTTTTTCCTTCTTCTTCTTTTTTCAGCCTGTTGCTCCCATAAAATTGGTACGCTAACATGTGGAAGCTGTCACACTTTATGGAGAACACGGTTCAAGAAGTAAAGCTGTGGCACACTGAGAATGATGTGGACTATGCCTTGCTAAATAAAAAAGAAAAAAAAATTTACAAGAACCACTCTACATGCTGCAGCTCTCCCACCTCTAAAACATTATACTATGTCACTGTAGCGTCTGTTTCTCAGCAGCAACTATTATATAACCAGGATGAAAAGATATTTGGAGATACCAGATTAGTGCCTGTAAGAAAAATTAACTCAGCTAGGAGTTTGCCTAGACTGTTGTATTTTTGCTCATCGCTGCTCAGCTCCCTGCAAGCACAATGAGGAAACGTAGAATGACAGACTGCAGCGTAACACAGATGCCATGGGACGCAGCAGCAGAAACAGGGAAGCATGAATTTAGTCCAGTGGAATAAATGTCGTCCAGGTTAGAAAGACAAAACTGCTACTAACAAAAGCTGCAAGTAACACAGCAGCTCCTGGATGCTGAGGTCACTCTGCAGTAACAGCAGCAGTCTTTTCTCTGATATTAATTCTTCCAGCTACTATTACGTGGAAAGTCAGCTCACACTGGATTACAGAAGTGGCAAAGCACATTTGCAATATAAAATAACACACATGTAAGACAGCTTATCAAGCCTGTTGCGGACAGAAAAAGTGATGTGAGAAGGATAACACTCCTAACAGGCCAGACAGCTTCCCCAGGAAGGACGGCAAACAGTATTCCCACTAGAAGCCACACACCGAGAAGGATACATTCCAAATATCAAAACATCTCCTATGAAGTACATTCCAGCGCTCAACTCTCGATTCCTACACACCAATACCATGTTTTCAGAGCAGCAATACTAACTACTGAAGAGCCTGGCATGAAAAGACCACCAGGTACTTAGAAAAGAATATAAGTTACTGTCCAAAGAACACAGTGTAGTGACCACCTGCCAGAGAAAGAGATGCAAGCGTTATTCACACCGAGATCATGCCCCAAAGCTTAGCTGAGCCAGCAGCAGCAGCTGCAGCATTCGTACCATAGCTCAGTCAGTGCAGGTTGGCCTCTTGCAGCCATCCCAGAAAAATCTGACTGCTGCTTCAGGTTTGAACTTCCAGAGACAGGAGGTCCTTAGAGAGATGTGAACTGCTTTTGCTTAATTTATGAGCTCATTCTGAAGCTTAATGAAACAAACAGATCAGCACTGCATTTGTTCCCCCCACTAGTGAGCATTCATCAGAGACATTCAGCTATTCTGAAAAGGAAGGGCAAAAGTTAATGTTTAAATTGCAGCCAATATGAGTTGGGGTAAAAGTGGGGCATTTGGGGTTTGTTTGTTTGTTTGTTTTGGGGTTTCTTTTTTTTTTTTTTTAGATCAGCTTATAAAAAGACTCTGCCTGGGCAGTTTCAGTAGAACAAGTCCTGCCCTGGAATATATGAACGGGTTAAACAGCCCCAAAGATCCCTTCCAATCCTATTTTATAAACCCAAGCTATTTCAGAAGCACTTCCACTTTGAAGAGCTGTTGCAGTCTGTCCTGAAGTGACCACCACAGTTACAGTAAAGCCAAAGGAAAATCAAATGGAGCACAGAAGAAACAAAGGAATTTCACTGCAGCTTTGGAGGAAGCAGCAAGAGGAAACCCATTAGCTTTGCTACCGTTTGGCATAGATATATATACACACTTACAACAAACACTAAACTCTCTCAATCAACCTAACTCTGTGATGCCCAACTGCGACATTGACATCAGTCTTGAACTTGTTACCGCATAACTAATCCTTTGTTTCTGACCGGATCTGCATTCACATCCCAATGTTTTGTTCTCTGAACCTTGAAAAAGGAGCAATTTGGGTCATTTTGTGCATTACAAAGCTCTACAATACATCAGTTTTGTCTTCTGTCACCACGTGACCTACTTTTGAAGTTTCTCCCTGGATGATTAAGAGGAGAAACAGGGACAGAGCTAACAGAAAATTACAAATTCTTCTGCAGGCAGTTAAAAAAAGCTATGTAAAAATAGCCACCCACCACCCCCAAGAACCTTCAATCCACGGCACTCATTTAACACTAACCTTTTTTATTGGTTGTGAAGTATTTGGAGTCCGTCATGGTTCCAATTCCTTAAAACACCTGAAAGAGAGAACGCACAAACAGCATTCAGAACTGACAACACCCAGTTTGCACGCCCAGAACTCAGAGGAAGAAAGCTTGGTGAGAGCATGTAACATAAGGGAAGAAGAAAATGCTTTACATCACATGCACAAGTTTCACAGTTTTCGTTCTGTACCAAATGCTGTTATTACTTGGGAAACCCATGGCTTTAAAGGGTTCAAACGAACAGCGTTAGTGAAAATAAAAGCACCTGCTGTGGATAGACTAGAAAAGCAGAGGTGGCCACCTCAGCTTTCTGATTTTTAATCTTGAAAGGAGAAAGATCATTTTTAACTGCTTATAACGAGGAGATCTTGACACCTTCTGCAGCCGCCTCTCCCCTGGGTAAACAATTTCATTTTCCCAAAAAAGCAGTGCACATTTAATATCTCAACTGGAAGTGAGAAGTCCATGTTTCAGACAAAGGAAACCGTCAACTCCCCCTAACGATACGTTTTTATGTTGCATCTTGATGGAAAGAACAATTAGTCCTACTTGCCAAACCCACCCGGAGGCCCTTTGATTTTTCTCCCTCTTTTGTTCTTCCTAAACCCCAGGAAATGCAAAACACTTTTTGAAAAGAAAAGCCATTACTTTTTGGTTCTCTCAAGCTTGAAATTGAAATCTTTCTTTGCCAAGATCTTGCACCCCACCTCTGACAAACACACAAGCTATTAGCTCTGTACTGCACTGCTTTTTTGTGGAAAAATGCTGCTGGGCCAGCAAAGTGCTTAACGGAGCTGTGAGAAACGTCTCACCAGCACTTTTCTTGCTCCACAGAACCAAATTATAAATACATAGATTACAGGGATTGTCCGAACATAGCAGAGAGCCATCATTTTATTTTTGCAATTGCCAGCTCTGTGACAAACATGACAAACAATTGCAAGTATTGGCTGAAAAACAAGCATCGGAGTGGGCAATCTTACCGTTTTGGATGATACAATCTGCATCCTGGCTAAAAATCTATATCCTCCAAACTATCCAAAACATGCTGCTTTGTACCTTTTCACTCCTTTACCTAACTCCCCTTCTCTTCTAGATACTGCTATTACCTTTAAATGTTACCGGTAAAGAAGTGAGTCATTTCTTCTCTAAACGCTGCTGCCTGTTTGCCTCCAATCCTCTTGGGCCTTGCTGGCTCAACAACGAAAGGACAAGCTTAGCTCTAAACTCCAAGATGCTGCCCAGCACTGCAACTAGCTCGCTGCTCCTTAACACTTTTCTTCCTCATCCCTTAACCAGCCTCAACACTACTATCATTCTTTTTTTTTCTGGCCACCTAAATCATTTTAATACCTCAGGAGTTAACTTCGCACGAGCAGCAGCCGCAGGATAATGGCAGTTTCTGTCACCTTTAGCGTGCTCTACAGGGTGGCAACGCAGAGCGGTGGTGATCCTGTCCAGCCGCCCAGAGAGCGGGAGAGAAACACAACCTGTAGTTTCGCCCAGCTCCCTGGAGCTTTTGTCTGCCCTGCGCCTGCTGGTCACCTCTCCTCATCCCAGTATTACTCAAACTGGCTTGATTTTGTCCCCTTCCTGCTCCTGCCAAGCTGGACGACGCGCCTGGGGACAGCTCTGGAAGTGCACTTTGCCTGCAAGAGAGGTTTCTCCTCCTTCTCAAACAGAGGCTGGGTTGGGAAGGCCACATGAGCCACAACATAACACAGTAGCCTTTCCAATAAAGTCACAGCACCCCCGCAGAGGGGGCTGCTGTGGGTCTTGTTTTATAATTAAAAAAGCAGCCTCGTTTCAGCAGCAGTGTTATTGCTGACACAGTCCTCCGGATTTGAGCCTAGCTCAGAAGACGACTTAAATGTTTTTGTCTACCAGAATAATTGGCACGATCCCAAAAGAGTTTCAATACAGTCTCACTGTGCTTTGGTCTCGTTGCATTATACAAGTCTTTATCTAGCTGGGTCATACCTTCCAGCTGACCTTGTCTGATACTGTTTTAACAGCGACCAATAGCAGGTTAGAGAAAATCCAGAGGAAAAACAACAACACGCTTCACCCAGTTGTATAAAGCTACACAGAAGAACCCTTGCTGAATTTCACAGGTGATATGTATACTCAAAAGCAGGCTATTTCACTGTCCTTCTAACTTCAGATCACATACTTGGAAACATGGAGAATAATCATAAAACACACACTCAAACTTCAAACACGGCCAACCACAGCCCGTGTCCTCATAACCTCTGTTTTGACAGATGTAAAACAAGATTCAATTTATTTCAATAAGAAACACAACTACCATATTCCAAGTGCAACATTGGAGAAAACTCTTTTTCGCAGGTATGTGGATTTTTGTTTTGTGTAGGCCATAGCTTGCTTCATACGTTGTTAAGAGACAGCTTGGTAGCAGTACCAAGTGCAATGGACTAAGCAAACTCTGCATGGTTTACAGCAAGTCCCAGAGGAAGGCCAAAACCAAAGCAGAGCAGATTTACAAATAGCAATGTTTTAAATAACTGAAGAAAATGCCAGCTTCTTGTATACAAATCTAAATTTGAAGAGAGCAGAGAAAATTTACAACCACGCCACAAACATCCTTATGTTTTTAGAGAAAAATCTAAGATAGATTGCGCTTGCCTTCCTGTTGTTCTGTGTCCAACCAACACCTGCTAAAGCGAAAACTCATAAAAGGTGTTCAAGCTGACAGCAAAAGGGTTCTGTTCTACCCCTCACTTCCTCCTCCAAAAAACAGGAGATGAAGCAGAGGAATTCCTCCAGAAGGTCTGGCAATGGTTAATGCTTTAAGCATTAGCTTGACATTTAAATGTAGACCGAACCAAAAATATGATTTAATGAGAAGACTAAGGAACCATCACAACCAGAAGCATAAGCAGCTTCAGTCTAAAATCATAGCGAAAACTGAATCCTGCAGCTGACCAGCACTAGCTTTGCCCTGCACAGAATTCAAACAACAGCCTGGCCTGAGCTCAATACCACTGATTTCATGCAGATGTAAACAGGAACGGGGCAGGTTTAAGGTCTCAACTCGGCATTAATACAAGCAGTCTAGCATTGAAACAGTTTTGTGTTGAACCCCTAAAGCTCTAACGCGATCCCCAGTTTAACCAGACTTACATAGCAGCTGGCATCCATTTCTTATCCACACCTGCTTCATTCTGCAAAACCTCTAGAGTATGTGCATGATAGCCCAGTATGGCTCGGGGCGGCCTGGGCACCAGGAAACAAATGGAGCAGCCAAACACAGATGGCAAAAGGGAAAGCTTGCCTCAGCTTTAGAAGCCCTCAGCCCTAAGAGCATGTGCCCACAGCAGGCAGTCTGTCCCCTCCCAAGGAGCAAAGGCACCATCACCCCCAGGCCTTTGGTGCTCCCCATCCCATTCCCAAATGCTCTCTGTTTCCTATTGTCTCCTTACTCCTCAGACCCTATTGCCCAACTCCAGGACTGTCTTTGCCACCAGCCCCTCCACTCCTATTCCCCCCTGCTTCCCATCACATCCCTCCCACCCTCAGCATGCAGCTGGACTCCCAATCGCTCCACCTCAACCACCAGCACCACGTCCCACCAGTGTTCCCAGCTCCAGCAGCACACCCACCATCCCATCTCTATCTGTTCCCCCAGGGCCCCTTCCCAGGAGCCTGACTCCTGCTGCCCAACCCTCACCCACGCCCAGACCTG